AAAATCCTGAAACTGCTTTCCTGACAAAACAGTGGATGTACCTACGGCATATAGACTGCAGAAGTTAAAGATGGCTCAACACTACCCTCTCGAGGGCAAGTGGACAAGGGCAATAAATGCTGACTTGGCTAGTAACACTCTGATCCTGTGATTAACTTAAAACTGATTATAGCAGAGTGGATGGTTTCCATGTTCTGTTTTATGTAAATTACTTGTGCTTACTGAGTTCTGAAACAAAACTGTTCTTTCTAAATCAATACTTTCCATGTTCTTCATGACTTATGCAGGAGATGTCAGGCCAAATTATTTTTCTCATCTGGATGACGTCCAGGCAAGACCAGCGATTCGACCTGCAGTTAGAACAAAACCAGCTGGAGCTCCAGCAACGTTCAGACAGGGGATTGGTGCCCAGAAGTCTCTAGCAAGTCCAGATACGGAGGCCAGCACCCTAAATACCAGAAGTGTAAAGCTTCCCAACAGAGAAACCTCTGAATTGAGGCGACGGGCCCGGAAACCCCTGGAACCATCTGTGGGCTCTATTCGTCCTATTGGAGATGTATTCCCAGAAAGCTACAAATCCAACTTCCCACATGCACCCACTGCTAGATCCAGGTGAAAGTGTGTTCGACAATAGGGCCAAGTAAACAAGCATCTCGATCATTTTAAATACCATCCATTTTAAAAACCAAGTCTACTCACCTGTGGGATACAAATAGATTTTTCTTCTTGGCATTTTGACTTCTAGAAACTAGTTGTAGGGATGATGGAAAAATGGGCTTTTCCATGATGGTTGACTGCCCTAAAAGCATTTCCCATTTTATGGAGTTTATATGGACCAAGAAAGCCAGGATTCTTGCTTCTAATCCCTGACCAGTGACCCCTCCCTCTGAAAATGCATATGGTATTCAGGTGAAGACTGCATTGGGCTCTGTTATAATGTCATCCAGCTTATTATTGATTGGCGAGACTCAGTTTGGACTTTGATCTCAATAGCAACTTGGATGTGATAGACTTTATGTGCAGAGCATCCAATGAGTTCTGCTCCACTGGTCAACACCTTCTGGAGAGCAGGGTTGAAAATTAGAGGAGGAAGTACGTCCCCTTGTTCAAAGCTGCATTTTGTTTCGGCATCCCTCCTGTCCTGTGTCACCACCTCATTGAAACTGTTCAGATGCTGGTTTGCTTATCCCTTTTGGATTGTGGTTCTGTTTTATGCTAAGTTTTTGACATTATTTGGTGACTCTTCTGTTTCATTTGCTTTTGTACTGTTCTAGTGCACACACTGATTTGACATGATACCCTACACAATGTATTTCTCCTGTTGTGGTCTGAGTAGCTCAGTTGCTCACCACTTCATATAAGAATTATCCATGAAATAGAACTATTTGTTTCTGTTTCTTTTCCAATGTTATATCACTGAACAACAGTCCAAAGTTTATGAAACCAGAGAAGCATTTGGAGTTGGGAGAGGTTATTTCTAATGCTGGTTCTTAATGGTTACCCTGACTGCATTTAGGTGAACATCAAATGAAGAAATAATGCCTTCCATGGTCAAATAGCTTGCTGCCTCTTTCTGCCCAAGTTTGGCACGAAATTGAATTGTTGGCCCTGTAGAATCATAATTGTTGTATGGAAAGGGAGAAAGTTTTTGGTGATGCAGGAGAAAGAGAGCAATTCCCTTTTTTCTTTTTTAAAAAAAAAAGTGCAGACTTCTGACTTGAGAGTCATGTGAACTTTGTGTATTTGCTCCTGTATGTCTTGAGCAGCTATGAAGTTGTTTCTGTCTCAAGTGGCATCCATTTTAAAAGAAGCAGCAGTGTCCCCAATGATAATTATATTTATTGTAAACTGGGAATTGTCAGTCCTCCAGCATAAATAGATGTAGGAGTTTCTGACAATGTAGCTAAAGCACCAGTTCCCAATATCTGTGTCAGACCAATGCATTAAGTTTAAGCACGAGAATAAATTGTTTTACAGATTTAAATTTTCTTGTCAAATTTTCAGCATTCTGCCTGTCTGGGGAAATTCAGCTTGGTGCTGAATAGCCCAAAAGACTCTTCTTGTGGAAAAGTGTAAAGATTGTGTTGCTTGAATGTATTAAACACTTTTTTGTTTTGTGCCTCCAGAGCTCTGGATTAAAATAGTCATTAATAGAGAAAATGGTGGCAAGACCAGGACAATTTGGGATCAGAACCTTCGTTGTTTGTCATTCCTGAGTGGAAATAAGAACTAGGAGAAGGAGTAGGCCATATGGCCTGTTGAGCCTGCTCCACCATTTCCTGAGATCATCGTTGATCTTTGACCTTAATTCTTCTTTTCTACCGGATCTTGAATTCCTTGAGATTCTAAAAATCCATATAATTTTTTAACAATGGAGTGTCTGCAGTCCCCTCTGGAGAATTCCAAAGATTCACGGTCTACTGACTGGAAAGAAAAGTTCTCCTTGTTTCAGTATTAAATGATCAACCCCTTATCCTGAGACTGTGGTCCGATCAGTCAGGAGAAAGTGCCTCAGCATTATGGTCAGGTTCTATCATGCTCTTTGTTTCAATAAGACTTATTTCTCATTTTTCTAAACTGCAGAGATTCTACTTAGTCTCGCCTCATAGACCAGCCTTCCAATCCTAAATCAATCTAGTGAAGCTGTTTGCAGTCCCTTTTTAAGATGAGTATACCATTCCCTTGGCATGGAGGCTTAGTCTTACCAAAGTCTTGTAATCTGTAATTGCACATCTGAAATGTAATTGTACAATACTCAGGCTTGGTGCAAATCATTGCTTTCCTAAATGCTTACTGTTGTTGCAAGATTCCTTTCTGAAGGAGACCCAATTCCACTGGACCTCACTGTGAAGTTTCAATCCCTTTTTAAAAACAAAAATTATGTATACCAAAGTGAATAACATGACATTTCATTCTGCTTCTTTTTCCACAGATGCAGAGTATCTCCAGCACTTTATTTTATTAATATTGCTTTGTAGTCTGTTTCATTGCCTACACATTAACCTATTTACATCCCATCTCTTTATACCTTTTCCATAGCTGATACTTTCACTTTCTTTGAATCATCATTGAATTTGGATACATTGCACTGTAATGACTTAGATGAAGAAACATGGATTGTAAATCAATTTTTTCCAAGGCTTTTGAATGGAGATTTTTGAAATCTAGTTCAACAGACCTGTTTTCTCTCCAAACTACAAACATTAGAAACTCAAGCTTTCTCTATCTAACCATGACTTCTTGATTTATTACTTATTTTTTTTTCTCCAGATCTTTTCAATTTGGCATATGTCCTGCACTGTCAGTCTGGTTCTTTGCTTTTGGTGAGAAATCCAGGTAAAGATCAGTGTTCTGATTCTTTAGCTGGATGATCTGCATTACACATGACCTGTGTTTAGTAGGGCGGATTGTTGTTTTTATTCTTGCTGGATTTAAGTCCTATGTTTACTTTTCAGTCTGAGAACAGAAGGATCCAGGGTTTCTAGGAGCACAGTTCCTCCAATCTCAAGGAGCAGAGTTCCAGGAATAAAGGTGAACTTTTAAGATAAAATTTGAGCAGGGTGTTGGGAAATATGATGTTTGATTTCAAGAAAGATGGTCATTTAAAAAAAAACTCTGGACATTTCCTGTTGAATGCAATTTCTCTTATTTCCTGCTGTGGAGATATTCTCGTTTTCTCCCCAACCCCAAACGCTCCCAACCACTCTTGATATTCCTGCTTTGGTATTAAATACATGTTGGTTCTTGTTTGTAAGACAAGGATCAGTATTCCAGATGGACTAATGTGTATCAACTTTCTAGAAGCTGATCAGGGTTTTACCCAGAAGATTTCAGTATTATCTAAACACCAGTATATTTTGTTTCTCTCCTAAAGTTGCCTAGCTTGGAGTGTCATTCCCTAGACTTTGGTATTTCTTTGGATAAATGTCTTTCCTTGCGTGACTTGCAGCATTACATGTTGGGAAATAGTCAGACTTCAGGGAGCGTTACAACCTCCATAGAAATAATGACAAATAATTCAAACCTCCAATGATTGATTATAAGGATCACATGCCATGGTTTCAAGTTTTGAGACTTTTTGTTTTTACTGTAACAGAACTAAAAGAAACATTGATTCAACATTTTTTCGATAAGCAATTTGTATTCTTTTTTTCTAAAAATTTATGCCATCTACTTTTAAAATGGTCAAAATGCCCAATTATACTTTAACTCAGTCCCTCAGGTGGATGCTTTGTTCTCTGGAATCCAGTCTAAAACTATTCTCTGTTCCTGCTAACTTGCCTCCTTTTTTTTTATCTCTCCTTTTTGAACCGAATAACTTCTCCCCAAACTGACTCAGTTCCCTGAAGATCTCTCCCTCCAATCAAAGCTGGCACAGCTTACAGTCTCATTTACATGGTTATGTTTTAAATTCAAGAGCTTTCTCCATGGTGAACAATTGAGATCTGCTGCCTCTTTTTTGCTGTGTCTCAGGCTTTTTGAGGACTGATCTGTCTGAAGTGTCCACGCACTGGAGATATCTTGACTCTTATATCTTGAAATAGACAGTTTGGAGTGTAATCATTTGCAGGACCTGACATTCTGAACACTACCTTGTAAGACTCCGAGATTAGTTGTTTACTCGGAATCATCTCTAATCCCCCTGTTATCCACAGATGTAAACATCTTTTATGTTATTCCTGGTAAATCAGTCTGGCCTACTCTTAATCAGGCCAGCCCAAGCTCTTGGGACCTGATCTGAATTAAGTCTAATGACCTGTAAAGCAGTGGCTGTGTCAAAGCAACAGTCTTGTAAAAAAAAAAAAACATTGGGACTGGAACCTTCATTCTCCACATTCATTGATATTAAGACACTTTTTCTAGGTAATTGTCATGCAACTGTGTACCAAAGGTGGCCAAGTACTTTTTCTGGGAATTGGGATAATTAATCCTTTGTCACGGTTTCTGGATTACTGCTTGTGATTCCCTGAAAATTGTTGCCAACCTGCATATTTTAAACTTAGAAAAACTGTTTTTTCAAAGTCTGGTGCTAAGCCAAATAGGTGATGCTCCCTAAAATAAAATGATTCTCCATTATCTTTTAAGAGACCACAGAACAGTTGTCTATTCCATTCTTTTGTGGCTCCAGATGAGAAAAAGTAACAAGTGTCCCAAAAATCATACAGCAAGTAAGGATATACAAGCTCTGTATGCAGCTACTAACTGTTACATTCTTGTTGAAGCCACCAACTTATGGCGTAGTTGTTTTGGTCAATTGGCCTTTTGACAGATCCATGTTAAGTACGTGTAGTGAGGAGCTTGCTGATACTCTTGAGCTTACAAGTGAAAAACACTGCTCAAATGGTGATAAGAGAACTTTGGTTAATAGAACTTTGCTATAGCATACTCTGGAAAGTGGTGTTATGGTTGTAGGGAGAAAGTTTGTTTTTTCTACTACAAAGAACCCACGTGATTGTTAGGAACAATTTATGTATTTTGTTTTTAATTTCAGCAGAATGTACCGAAAACAAGACCAGAAAATGATGAGAAAGAAGAGGAATGATGAAATGGAACTAAACTACACTTGTTACCATGGTGTCCAACTCCTAAATTATATCTAGTGCTAAAACTCAGGACTTCCTTTTTATTTTCTATGCAAAAGAAATATTTATGAGTGAGGTTTAAGTGGTAGTGTGTTTTTATTTCCTCTCAATTCTGTTTTCATTGTGGGGTTTAAAAAAATATACTTAACAGGAGCTCACTTTTTTAGATTCCTGCACTGCGTAAGTAACTTAAAAGGCAACAGAAATTTTAATTTAGACATTTTGTGCACTTCATCTTAGTGATAACGTGGAGACATTTGACCATACAGCTGATTGATAGTTTGAGGGGAAACAACAGTTCACGTTGATACTCATTCCATTTCAGTGGGACCTGCTTTGGAATTTGCAATCTTGAACAGATATCCCAAGGATATGATTTTACTTTGTGTGATCAATTCAAAGGATCTCACAATAGGAAAGAACTACTAATAAGTTCAAAAGACTTGATGCGTCCCCAATGGAGAGTCGTGCCTATCCATCCCAATTAAAGTTGGGGTGTAGGTTACAATCTGAAATTTCTTCCATGGCTCTTTGTATGATTTTTCTGTTTTATAGCTTGCCGTTTTAAGTAAGAGTGTAACACTTTTTTTAATGTTGATAGTGATGATATTTACCTTTGCACTTTGCTGTTGTTTTTGTCAATTTCTTTCTCTTGTTGCTCTCTTCTCTTACAGGAACTAATTTGACCTTTGCTTATATCATGTTCCATCTCTCTCTCTCTGTATATCTCTATTACTTCTGTTATCTGTCTCTTGTGTATTCATTTTTACTATTTTGTTTTGCTTAAATTACATCATGGAAGGAGCACCAACTGTCGTGGTCATGCAGAATTGGAGAAGTAACTCTGTCTTTCAGGAAATTTTACATGTTGTAAAAGTTTTAATCTGCATTCTGGGCATTGCAGATCAATCCTAATTACGGTGAAGTAATGTTTTTAAGACAGTCATGTGGGAATCACGTCTGTTGCTCTGGACTAGTTTTAACTACAAAAATTGTAGCGGCACTTCATTGGAAATGTACTTAATTTTTTATGATACATGGTTAATTTGGAAAAGCACTGGGTGAGCTAGAATTGTCATTCAGAACTACAGTCTCATTGGAAGAGATTGGAGGATTAAGATGTTTAATAATTGCAAAACCACTTGTAACTTGCCTTCTCTCCACTTTTGCATCATTTAGAAGCTGATAGTGACTGTATTTATTAAATGTACTTCACACACAGTTAAGGATTTCAGAAACATAAGTGAGAGAAGGTAAGAAGTTCAAGAACTCTAAAGAAATGTGGTAAAAATGCACAATAAATAGTTGCTTGCATGGAAGTGGGAGATATGTACGAGAAAAATGAAGTTCAGTCTGGCTGTCTGGGGCAGAGAGAAGATGCATTTATAGGAATGAGATCTGCGGAAAGAGAACTTCAGACTGAGTCAAGTTTGGTATATGTCTTTGTGACCCATACCATGGAGTACCTTGTTGGGAATTGGTTACCTTCTTTCCTGTCTGCAGGTTAGAAATATGGTCGAATTGGAAGGATAAATTGTATTGCAGGAAATTTGGCTATATGTGGCAGTAAACAGAAATGACTTGCTGATCTTGAAATTTGTGTCTCTTCTGCAGCCTTTTAGATGCATCAAATACATTTTTTTTTTTCTTTTAACCACTAATGTTTAATAAAAAAAAATGGCTGACCTTCTTTTCTGACCTTTGCAGTAACTTCTGTTAGGCAGTAATAATCTTACCAGTTGATCTATGTAGGAGGCAGATTGACATTTTTATTGGTATTTATTTGTTGCCCAAAGAGCTGTCTCTTTAGATTTATGGAATAGTCATAGTAGACATGAGTTCCAGTTTTGAATGTGAAATCCTCTTTGTTCAACGTGGGTCAGATGTAAATCCATTCTACCACTGATTCCACAACTGGAATGCTGCAGGGCATTTTAAAATGTTGTACAATTTATTGTAAACTTGTTTGTTTTAAAATGTATGAGGTGACTCTTGATTTGCTCCTGTTCAAACTCGACTTAGTACTTTCGTGAGTTCAAAGAGCTACTGCTTGCTACAAATTCTGCTTGGCTATAAAGTCAGTGGCATCAGTAAATAAATGTTTGTTTTAAGACATTGACCAGGTATTCATCAGGAAACTCAAATTTAAGTTTGTCCTTCAAGGTAAGGGAATGAGTGGCCATTGCACCCATCTCTTCTCTAGACTGTTGGGAGAAAATCACAGGTAATGTGCTGGGCTGTGTGCCTGATTTGTTCAGGATCAAGTATCAAATTGAAACCCAGGCAACACCAGGACATTGCTCATTCAATTAGTGATGCACAAATATCTTCTCCCTGTATTCAGCAGCTTGAGGCTACCACTGCTTTTATCTTGGGCAGATCATGGTATATTCTAGCTTGCTAACATTTTATGAAGACCCCTTTCTAAGAAGACAGATTGTTACTCAATCACATGTTGTGATAATTTTTTATTTTCCCTCTATCTCTCCAAAGTTCCTTTTTTTTTGTTTTCACAGTCTTGATTTTAGATCCTTTGGGCAGAACTGTAGACTGTTCTTGGAATGATGAAAGGCTTTGCAGCACTGAGCAATTCATCCATTGAATTAATCATAGATGCTTTTTCCTTAATCAGATGGTGCATTAATGGGAGTGTGGAGAGGAGGGGCCTTAGCTTTGGTGCATTTACTTGAGATGGTGATATTAATAATTTCCTGAATATTTTAAGATTGTAAGAAATGTGGTTGGGGAGAGTAAACAAAAATCTACAGTGTCTGTGTGTGCATATGTTTGTAGTTATTGTATTGAATAGAGTAGAATAGAATCTATACCTTGTATTCTTGGATAGAGAGATGGTTGAGGTATGAAAATGATATGAATGCTGCAATTTTATTAGTCTTGAGCACAAACTTCGGAATTTTTGAAAGCAATTCTCCAGCTGGCTAAACTTTAGAGACCCTTACAAATCTGAATTTGTTTCTCACCAGAATTACTGCCCCTCCCAGCCAGATTATTTCTTTTAAATTGCTTCTTATTTTAAAACTTGTTTGGTATGGTGTTCTCCAAACTAATGTTGATTATACAGTATGTAACCATCCCATTCACTGTGGACTGAATTTGGTGACTATCTTTTTTTTTAAAATGACTGAAATGTACTGTCTCATACCATTGTGATTTCTTTATCACCAGCATATAGTTAACTGACTGCAAAACCTTATCAGCTACTTATGATTTTAAAAAATTAGATATCTGTAACGTGTAAATGTACTGACTTACAATATATAATAAAGGTTGTGGTTAGACCTGGTTTTGTGAAATTTGAGTGAATCCTCTGGTTGCACATTATATATCTGACCTTGCTAATTTCACATAATTATGTAATTGACCCTGTACAAGAGGCGGCCATTTGGTCCACTGTTTGTTTGTGCTGGCTGTCAGATAGCACTAGGCAAGATGCTCAGTCACTGGCATAAAGCTGCAGTTCCTTTTTCTAATAACCATCTTAATCACCTTTTTGAATGCCTCAACGTGTCTCCATTACATTTGGCCAGTGTGATCTAGACCTGAGTCACTGAGTGAAAATATTTCCCCTTATGTCTTTTCATCTTTTACTAATTACTTTAAATCTGCATCCTCTTGTTCACCATTCTGTCACAACTGGGACCATTTTCTCCTAATTACCCTAGCTAGACCTCTCCGTCATGATGTTGAATACTTCAGTCAGGTCTCCTGTCAACATTATCTTCAAGGAGAACAGTTCCATCTTCAAGAATCTATCATAACTGGTTCCAGTCAGAAATTTCAATCAACCCAATGCCTTTAGATCTTTCCTCAAATGCAAAAGTAGTGTCTTATACTTTATGTTCATATTTAATGAAGCCTTGGATTGTGTATGCTTTAAGTACTGTCTCAATCTGTCCTGCCATCTTTAATTATTCAGATGTGCACCTGGATCGGGTCCTTTGCTCAGACACCCCCTTTTTAGAGTTGTACTCTCTTCAATATTGTCCCCAACACTACTGCTGGTGAGCTCCACTATCCTCTAGCCTGAAAAACACCCAATAACAACTATTCTGTTTTCTGTCACTCAGTCAATTTCACATCTATGTTGTTACAGTCCCTTTTAGTGCATGAGCTTAATTTTGCTACCAGTCTGTCAGTTGGCATTACTAAACACCTTCCAGAATCAATGTATGCATCAAAAGCATTTCCCTGATATCCTGTAACCTCATTTAAAAAAAAAAAACTCCAATAATTGAACACATTTTTCTCAAAAACATCCATGCTGGCTTTCTTTAATTTAACCTTATTTTTTCTCCATTCACTTAATTTTGTCCTGAATACTGTTTCCTGGCCATTGGAGTTAAACTGGTCCACAGTTGCTTGCTTAACCTTACTGAAAAGGTAATCTCTGGACTGTTTCTAATGCTAGGATATCTATCTTTATCTAAAGAGACCGAAACTGAACACTGTATTCCAGCTGTGATCTGATTGGTACCTGGCATAGTTTTAGCAAGACCATGCAATTTTTATCCTCCATTTCCTTTGAAATAAAGGCCAATATTCATTTTACTTCCCTACTGAACTTGTACGCTAGGTTTAAGATTTATGCATGAGGACTCCCAAATTTGTGCTGTAGCTGTCTGTAGTCTTTCTCTGTTGACTTGGTATTCTTCCTGAATTATATGTTCCTCTGCAGAATGTTTTGTCAGTCTCACCACTTATCTTCTCACCTATTTTTATCATCCACAAACTTGGCAATAGTACATCTGCTTTCCTCATACAAGTTATTAACATTTTAATAATTATCGGCCCAGCATTAATCCTTGTGGTACTCTATTAGTTACATTTTGCCATACTGTAAATGACCTCCCTATCCAACTCTTTATTGTATCACTTAGCCAATCCTCTATGCATTAGGCTATTTAGCAAATGCCTTGGAAGATCTGAATATATTACATACCAATATTGCCTCCCCTTGTTCGTTACTCGCTTGAATTTGTGAAATCCATGCTAACTCTACTTGATCATTATTATAAATGCTCTACTACATCCTTTATAATGGACTAACCTTTTCCTAACAAATCTTAAATGAACTGACCTGAAATTACTTGTTTTTTTTGTTATTTCCTTTTATTAAATGATTGTTACATTGGCAATTTTCCTGATAGTCTGGCACTTCTCCAGCATCTTAGGATTCTTGGAAGATTACTACCAGTGCATTCACTATTTATGTAATTACTTCCTTTTTAATATCCTATGAGGCATCCAATTAGGTACCAATAGTTCACTCACTACTTTTTCTCATTTGATATTTTTGGAATGCTGTTAGTGTATTTTATTTTGAAGATTGATGCAAAGTATTTATTAAATCCAGTGATTTCCTATCCTTATTTCCCAAACCTTGTTCCCCAAGGAGCTTTTGATCACATTGGTCTCTCTCTTTTTATATATTTTAAAGAAGCTCTTGCTGTACATACTGATATTATTTGCAAGTTGCTGTGTTTTCATACTTTTTAAACTTTCCAAATCCTCTGGCTTACTGCTAATTTTTGCTACATTGTACATTTCTTTCAATTTAATGCTATTCTTAACAGCCTGGCTTATCGCCTTCGTAGGATCATTTTTTTTCTGAATGCACACATTAACACTTAACATGCATTTCAGATTTAAAACAAACTGACCAAGAGCTGTTCAAATTGCCATCCACTTAGTAAAGCCTGCAGCAACAGCCAGTCTGAATGGTGTCTCAATTGTGTGGCTAAATCTGAATGATTGATTGATTACAAGATTGTCAATTTATCAAGTGCTTAAGTTTGGAACAAGCTCCACTTGTCTATATAATGCAAGATTTCACCTTTTGCCATGTGGGAAAATAATAACCCTTTAATTTGATGCTACTTGACTTATGGGCCAAATAGATCACTTTTGAGTGGGAAATTTAGTTTTAGATTTATAACCAAATTAACTCTCTTTAGCTCTGTTTAAAAAGAGTGTAAACATTCTTTCCAGGTTTGACGGAATGCAACTGAGTTCTTGATGCAGCAAGAGTTGCATATTACATCCTCCCCCCCACCCCCCATAACTTTATTGGTCAATAGCTGGAACATTGCATTTTTAATTCCAAATGACATCTCTTTGCATTGGTATTACAAAAGCTGATATGTGGCAAGTTCCATTGGTTCTGTCAATCATCAGTGTTCTTATCACAAGTCGATTTTGTGCTCTATGCTTTCAGCATCACAGTACCAGCTACTAGAATAGCATTATCCATCGTGAATTTTACCTGTTATCACCTCTACCTTTCCTTCATAAGTGGCTCAATGGTTAGCACTGCTGCCTCTTAGCACCAGGAAACCAAAGTTTCCTCCTCAAGACGTTCAGTTTAGGTGGATTAGCTGTACTAACTTTCCCCATAGTGCCCAGAAATGTGCAGGTTGAGTGGCTGGGATGAACTTTTGGGGGGTCAGTGAAAACTTGATGGGCTGAATGGCCTCTTTCTGCACTGTGGATTCTATGATTCATTTCTACTCGTGAATAATGACAACATGTTTTACCCAGCCTCTCAATGATTAGCCAGAGCTATACTGTTTGTCTCCAATAACAAAATTTCCAACTTTAACCTTTTTATCTGTTCTGGCTTGGTGTTTGAGCACTAGGCAATTGTTTTCAGTAAGCACAATTTTTAAGTCTAGGTGTAGTCTCTCAGCTTTGGTATGTATATCCAAACAATGCTCCTCCTGTCCATACAGTTAAAGACCAAATCCTGTAGACACATTAGGAGCATCCCTAATCATGCTCTTGAATTTAAAGCTGTCTTCCACTGCACCTCAACTTGGTGGGTGATTTAAGTAAATTGCTTAATTCTTTAAACTAAAATTGGATATTCAGTCAAGTTTAAAGGTTTATCTCGAGCATAATCTGATCACCCGACTACCCACCAACACATTTTCCACCAGTAGCCTCAAGTGCTTGGGTTTTTTAAGACCATAAACCACTGGATTGAAGAGTAGGCCATTCATTCAACAAGATGAATTAAAATGCTTTAATCTATAAAAACACGTGACAACTTTAGAAAAATCTGTTTGAACTTTTTAATATGAATGTAATTCCCATTCATACATCACTGCTTTAGGTACCAATGCAGACTAGATCAACAATACAGATGATTTTTAGATGCATTCATAAATAATTGTAATAAATATACATCAATAACTGTACAGAGCACATTAACACCTGTATGTTGATATGTCCTTGTAATTTTAAGTTTCTGGTTGCTCTCAGTAAAATGGAGCAGTTGTAGCAGCAGATTAACATTACCACAGCCAGTACCACATTACTTTAACAAGGTAGGGACAAAGAGCCCGATCCACACTGGTGTCAGACTTTCTGGGTGGGAGGACAGAGTAGGGGATTGTTCAAGCAATAATCTCGATAGGTTTGTTTGTACAAAAATAACCGGATGTGGTGTTGCTTTTTTGTACTCTGAAATCTAAGATGGTCACATGCCTTTAAAATCAGTTCAATACCCTTTGCTTTAGATCTGATAGTCAAAATTAACTTGCCAATAATCTGGGCAAAAACCAAAATTATAGTGCTATCTTAAAGGACTTAAAACATGGCCAACTTGTTCCTGTATATTGCTGCTGTGGTTCTACATTTTTTGCAATCTGTTGAACCTTGGCTTTTTTTAAGGTTCATCTGTCATAAAGCAACCAAGCTAGCTGAAACATACCTCTTCACTGTTTGACAATTGCACAGTAAGTCTAATTCCAGAATTCTTCTTAACTATGTTGCAGTGTATACAATTTGATAACAAAATTATGAATCACTCAAAAAAAAAAAACTCCCAGCATCAGCACTGGCAGCAGGTCAATGTGCTCTTTGTTTGCCAAATAACTAATTACACAAAACCTTCATTCACTGTTATATACTTGCAGGCTATCTTACCATTGAACAGCAAAAGAAAACAAAATACACTCTGCACCCAAGGATAGTTTATATTACACATTATGTAGCTGGAGGATATGTTCCTTTACGCCTCCTCCCATAAGTGTTAAGACCATTAAAGCTCCTGTATTGCAAAGGGTTGGGATAAATCCAACAAGATTCACAGGTTTGTACTAGAGATATCCTTACACTGCTTGCCTCATGCTTAGGCCAATATTAACTTGGTTTTACCAATGATAGAATAAGGAATCCAAGCAGTTCTGTAACCGCAACTCAATTCTGTAAAATTGGTCCTGAATTTTAAAAGCTACTGTTTTGGGTATTTAGTTCCATTGTTATAGGCAATCTTGATAAATTATAACAAGTTAATAGATATTGTATTACAACATAAAATCTTCCATTTTCTTTCCATGAAAATGTATAATGAAGAAATAGCTACTCTTGAAAGAGATTAGCCAATACCAATTCCAAATTACAGTTAAGACGTGAGGGTATGCATGAAATAGCAATGTCAGATACACATAGCAGAGAAGACTTCTAAAATCAAAGGTTGTGTTATGTTAGCCTATTTTCAAGTTTACCTTCATACAACTCTTCATGGCTACCTTTTGCAAACTCATATATTCTATGGCCTCTTAATGCAAAACAAAAACTACAGGTTATGGGGGATGAGACAGACAAGGAAAGAAAGGGAGGGAGAATTTGTAGAAATCTGTTTTCTGAAAACTATACACAATTAGCAAATACAGCTGTGCATAAATGTGGTACATTCACTATACTCTGTCAAATTGAAGTTTAGGAATTTTGTGTACATCGAAAAACTCAACACAAACAGTTGTCCAATGTGACATAGCCATGTCCATTTCCCCTTTAAATGAGAATGTTTACATATGCAAAGTAATCTGGAACCACAGCCTGTGATCTCAATAGCTGTATCTTCAATATACATTTACAATACAGACCATTTCAGATTAGATAGACGTTATGTCACTTCCGCTGTGCACTGTAAATATTCTTTGATATTGTTTCACTTTCTCTCTCAACTGAACATAAAATGGCTTGGATAAAATGTGGGTGGCAGATCATGATGCCTGGCCAGAATGTCTGAACAGTATTCTTCCATGACATTTTCTATCAAAGGTAGCATTTTACAATACAGTTAGCCAATTTGCTGATGAATGTGCTTTGTTGCTTTTGTGTTCTTAAACAGCATAAGACTATTCTGAAACGGCTGTAAAGTAAACAAAATAAAAAAGCAAAGGATGGAAAGTTATGCAGTGGGCTGTGCTGATTTTTTTTGCCCCTGTAACACAGGCTATTTGCATTGTAAACCTTAGGTCAATCTTATAGTAAGATACTTACATTTAATTAGGATTCATGCTACTGCATTTCAACTTTAATATAGAAAATTCAAAATGAGTAGAGGGGACAGGACTTTCTGATGCAGTGATTTAGGGTTACAGTTCGGTGACATGACATTCTTATGCAAGCAGTAGCCAGACATTTCACTTTGGGAGGAGCGAGAAATAAAATGGAGTTCAGAAATAACTCTACTACACTCACTTTCAGCTACTTGTCCACCCACTGAGTTAGGAACAGTGTATTCCACAAGGGAAAATAAACCAGCAATGATCAGAAACTGACCTCTGGCACAAAATAACTGTAGCCCTGTCTTATTACCAAGCTCTTGGGTCTTCTGTCAGAAGGAAATGAGATATCTAATAAATTATGTTACCCAAAGCATGAAGGCTACTTCATAAGCACTGACAGACCAGCGGCAAAGAACTTTACAAGAAAATATTTGCCAACGTGGACTTCCTGTCAGCATAACAAAATCCTGAAAAATTAAAAGGACAGCCGAGTATCTTCATGGCAAAGCAGGCATCTGTTGATATGCTGATCCAATATTCAAGTAGTACTCACAACCTTATCTTTTTTCTGAAGGAGCAAAGGGAAGTAGACTGGGTCACATGATTCATTTAAATCCACCTATAACTAGAAGATTAATTGCCAGTTAGGTGGAGGTATGCCTTTCTGTACACTGACAATTACAACACTAACTTTGGAGCATTTAAATTCTGTAGCACACTCGTGCGCACATATGGTTACTAGACATTTTAGAAGCCAAAGCTGATCTGGAAGAGAAGATTTGTCTAATTTTGTGTAGGTGTTCCCATGTGTGTGCCTGTGCACAAGGAAAAAAATAAAATAAATTTCCTTCCATGAGAACATGAAAGTGGAAATGCTGCTCCAAAGTTAAGACCACAGATATAAAAACAGTTAGATCCTACAATAAACTATTATCCTGTTTGACCACAAGCATTTGTGTTTTAAAGGTACAGTAACATACACCGCTGTAGTGGTAAAAGCACCGTACACTCTTGGAATAGCTGCTTGACACGACAGCAACACACCATTCTCAGTCCATTAGTAGAAATGGAAATTTACAAAAAGACAGTTTGCATCGATGTGGAAGCATTTCGCTTGTGACGGGTTCAGGAGGAAATGCTCCTGACTGCAGCATGGATTTCCGTCTGGCTTCCACCTCAATTCCTTTTCTTACAAGTAGGGTCAAGGAGGTCCTCAGGCATCGCCATTTGTTGCAAAAGGATCTGGGAATATCAGCTGTCTCCTGCTCAGCCGCTGAGAGGGTCTTCACGGTAGTGGATAGCATAGCGCAGCTTTTCCAGCATGATATCAAGTGAGGAATACTGAGGAAGTTTGATCATAAACATACAGGTTTCTACTCTAATGTATCGAGAATCTGGTGAACCTGAATAGGAAAGGAGAAATAGACAAACTAAAAACGAGGCAGTCATTCCTGGTAGTATATATATACACTGAGGCAGATGTTATTTAGTTTTGTTGAAAAACAATGTTTGTTGAAGCTTTTCATCTTGCACGCATCAGGCAAATCATAAGAAGAATAGTAGCAAGGGGGTAAATCCAATATTTACACTGCATGAGAGGAGAACACTTTTTGGATGGCAAGTGGTTTCTGGTTGGGTAGAGGTGTTGCTATAGAGATTGCACACTAATGCTAATTAACACAACTGCAAGGCTTAGTTTCAATTTTAAACCAAACAGGTTGACCGATTGGTCAGAGTATTATTGCCCTGAGAAATGGACCAGCATATGGCTGTTACCTAACTTGGTGAGCTGAAACAGGCACAGTCCCCTATGTTCCCCTATACCATACATGTTGTTACAGAATGGACAATTAGCCTGTTGCCAACAAGACTACTCTCAAACTAGCTGCTTGGAAGGTTGATTGTAACTTTTATTTCCTCTCCAGTGGGAACTGCCTTTTCTTTTGTTCAACATCATTCTATAGTGGAACAGCTCAATTTAGCAACTTCTGGCTGTGGGCAAGATTAGTTAATTTGTGTTTGAATTGTTATTACTTCCATATAACTGGATCAAAAAATTCTTAAAGTACTGTCTTCCTGGCTCTGCTAAAAATATTTAATGTTAGACACAGATATTCATATCCTACCCAAGCTTTTTAATGCACTATTTCGTTATTCTTTCCCAAAGGTTTGTTGAGACTATTTTATAAAGAGAAATTGAATTCTTGAAGACCAATCCAGATTTCTTTTCCCAAAAACTAGTTTTCAAATGTCACTGGCACACTGTTACAGCTAGGCAGTTTCCAGCTATACCTCAAGTTCCTAATGCGAGTTATACCCTCAGGCAGAGATACAGAATGTGTGCACTTTTGTTATGCAACAATGATAAAAAAAATCTGGAAAGCAAACTAGCCTCTGACGTACAGTTGTATCACCACATGGAAGGCTGTATTTTGATCATCTTAGCTGCTGCATGGTGAAAGTTATAGGGATAGAAAAGGCTTCATCTACTGTGATAAAACTGAAAGGACTAATTGTGATATTACCAGAAAGAGATAACTCTCTAGATTACCTGCGGCTCCATCAGGAGGAGCGATCTTCATAGGATATGGTGGAACATGGGCAGTATCAGGGCCACCATCTTTGCAGGGACAGGTAAATGGTATTCGTTCCTGGTTGCAGGCAAACTTGATGAATTTACATAGTTCCTCTTGAGTGAACATCTCTAACGCTGCCCAGAAGAATTCGATATGCTGATCAGTTTCCATTAGTCCCACCTGGTACATGGTGTGAGCCTGGGTAAGAGAGTGGAGGGCAAAAGAAAGAGACACATATATGCTCATAATTGACAATACAAAAAAAATTCAACTAGTTACTGTTTCCTTATAAGCAAGTCAAACAGTTTACTGTGGCGAGAAACGGGCAATAAAAGCTTGGCAATTGTGGGGTTACTTTTTTCCAGAATGGGCTGGACACACTCATTAGCATTTCATGCTTGAATGTTCAAATATTCTTTGACTCTTCAACTATTAAAATGAAAGACACTTTCAGCTGTTCTTAGAGTCAGGAAATGCTTAGACTGAATCTACCGTAAGCTTGGAATGATATGCCTGTAAGTGGAGTTGCACCGAGTATACTTGTTGACTGTGAGTTTACTGGCAATGGCTTTCTCGCTAGTCCAAATTCCCAGTTCTACTAACCAGTACTTTACTTCAAATTCAGTTAGAAAAAGCCAGGTTTCATGCTAGTCAAATGCATTTCAATTCAGATTCTTAAAAGTAAGAAATTGTAGCATTCTCCAAATTGGTCAGTCTTCTGAAAAAAATAAAATTATAAGCAGCGATCATTTATTTATGTCAGGGCTATGTGTGGAATTGCTGGAAGTATAGTAATGTTAGGTTTGTAATATCTAAACAACACTTTTTGGTTTCAACTCCTTCTGCAGTATAAATTAGATGATTTTGAATAATGTGCTGCAATGGAACCAGTTAATAGAAGCAAGGTCCATTGATGCAGCAATAGTAGGAACTGCCAATGCTGGAGGATCTGAGATAACAAGGTGTAGAGCTGGATGAACACAGCAGGCCAAGCCCCATCAGAGGAGCAGGAAAGCTGACGTTTCGGGTCGAGACCCTTCTTCAGTA